TGAGTATATACGTACATAAGGTACTAGAACCGGTCGGTGTCTCGGGATCACTCAACCCGTGTTTCCGGAATCAAAAGAGTATTTATTCCCAGACTGGGAAAGGCCACAAACCAAATTCTAAACCTGAAGAGAAGGGCGCTCAGACCCAGATTCAGATAGGGGAAGTCTTATCGAGTTCTTTCTCTATGAAGATTGACTCTACATGATGGCGAGAATAGGGACTAAATGATGGAAAATGATTAAGAACATGATATAATTCTTTAATATGATATGATGGATTTATGAAAGGGAAATTTACCTAAATAGGACTAAAACATAGTGCCTTTCTGAATATAGGATCATATGTTTTTATTTTCCAATGTAGGACCATTGGTCATTATCCATTAGTCATTATTCAAGTAAATATCCACTATCACAGGACATTATTCATCCCACTAGACATTATTAAGTACTATTTAGGGAATAATAAAGTTTAAGTTCTACATTAGGAAATTACTTAAGTTTTAGTCATATTTAGTTCAAAGGGTAGAGTTTAAAGAATTGGAAGGAGTTGATTAGAAAGGACCTAGGCCTTCTTGCCCTTTACTGATGATATGACCATAGATTTGTTTGGAAAGCTAGGATATGATTAGGGTAGTTGGGCGGAATTCTAAGCTAGATGGTAGTTGATGGATTCTTTGTTGCATGGTTGGTGTTGCTTGTAGTGCTTCCCTTCGTTAACTCTAGTTTTTCCTTTTTGTCTCTTTGTGCTTTAATTTGTGCTCTCTCTACTCTATATGTCTCTATGATCTTTTATTATTGGTACTGCATGTGAGTCGGGGGTCTTTTGGAAACAGCCTCTCTACTTTCAAATAGAGGCAATGCATGCGTAACACATCCACCATAGACCCTACAATCATGGGATATGATCAAACTGGATTGTTGTGGTTGTTGTTGTTGTTGTTGCACTTAGATACTTTCACAAATATTTCATTGAGTTTCTCCCTTCGTTGAATTTTGATTACAATATATTATTTTAAAATATTCTAAAATTTTTATCTAAAACAACACTCACAAGTTATATGATAAGAATATAAATGCATTAAAGTTTTTCAAATTTACCATATTTTAGTTTTTCAAGTTTAAAACACAAAGTCTAGTTATGACACATTTCATGTTTATTTTAATTTTTTATTAGTTACCAACCCATGTTTAGTTGGCAACTTGAAATTATGATGTACAAGTGAGTAACTTTTAGGAGCAGTGACATCAATTATTGAATTCTGCAGTATTAACGTAAAACCATGACTTCAAACCTTCTCTCTGCCACGTCAGTTTTAACTTACCTCAGAGTTCCAGTGGAAATGAGTTTAAAGCCCTGGGGCTTTAGACTGGGACTTCCAACCTTTTATTTTTATTTTTTAATATATATATTTTCAAAATAAATTAATAAAACCTAATTAATTAATTAAAGTTAAATGAAAATAATTCATAAAATAAAAAATTACATTCAATAAAAAAATAAATTAAAAAATTACATTCAATAAAAAACATTTAATTAAAAAAGTTACATTAATTTAAAAACTAAAGTAAATCTACATTGCGTACTCGTTTGGCTCGAGACCGGACGGGGAAAGGAAGAACCCAAGGGATTCATTATTAAAAAAATGAAAAAGATTTGAAGAATTGTTTTTAAGTTGAAGAAGAGATATAAGAATTAGAAGAGAGATTCTGTTTGTGATTTTTTGGGTTAAAAATGGGTTAATTTATAGATTGAATATTTTTTTAAGTGTAATAGCTTTGTAGTCGTTGGAAAGAGAGTCCCACTGCAAAAACCAGACGTTAAACGTCTGACGGACCAAGAATAACGCCGGGATGAAGCCCTAGGGGGCAGTGTTTAACGCCCCCGGGCATTAAAAAAGAGTTTAACGCGGGTGGGCGTTACACCCATTTTCTTTGCTCTTAATATCAACATATTTTACCATATCACTTCACAAAGTTCACATTAATTTCCCTTTATATATTTCTTCCGTCCCTAAAAGCTAAGTATTTCTCATTCCTTTTTTTTCTTGTCTCAAAGTCCATTTCTTCTTTCTATTAAAAAATCAATTTTCCCATATTAAATCTTATCATCCAACATTTTACATCATACATTTTCACAAATAATCTACTCATCACATCCTAATTTTACCTATTATATCTATAGCGATCTGTGAAAGTCAATACCAACACGAAAATATCCTCTCTTTTTTCTTAAATCATAGAGAAATTAAAACAAAAAAAAGAGATTTAGGGACGAAGGAAGTAAAACATACTTATGCGTTTATCAAAATCTTTCCTAACACCCGTATGTAGAATTGCAGCAATTTTACAACCCATTAAGGATTTATTAAAGAATGGATTTTGCTCAAAAATGAGTATAAATTTTTTCTAGCAAGCAAACACAGATACAATGATGAGATATATATATTCTTTGTGGTGAGAAATAAAACTTATTTAAAAAAAGGTTTGCATAAAATATACTCTAATAATTAATGATTAATGTTGTTAGTTATTCTATAAATATTATTAGAGTATTGCTTAATTTGGCATGTTTTGCTTTCGCTGCAGTTCTTTTTTGTAGGAAATAGCATTGTCCTTGTCTTCCTTGCTAGTGTCATGGCTCTCAATTACCTGCTCGTGTAACTGATCACAAAGTTGATCATGATTCCCTCTACCTGCACTCTATTATTATTATATATTATATATCATATTTAAAAAACACAATAATTAAAGAAAAATACACAATATTAAGCATTAAAGAAAAGGTAATCATGAGGATTTTCACTAATTAGTACGTACCTCTTCCGTCCCACTGTGTTTGTTATAAAAATATTCTTGTCACATTTTCTATTTTTAGAACTTTTGATATACGTTTAAAATATTTAACTTTTATTTTATAATTCTACGCCATTTTTACGATAAATTCTACTCCCTCCGTTTCTTAAAATAATTCATCTTTCATTTTTTTTCTCTTTCCCCAAAACACATTCACTTTCTATTAAAAAACTCACTTTTACCTATACTTTTTCTTACCCTACCTATCACATCATACTTTGTCACTAATAATCTACTTATCACATTTTACTTTTACCCATCACATCAAAGACAATTGGAAAGTCAAACATAAATATACATTTCTTATTTTGGCTAAAGTCAAAATAGGAATGGTTTATTGAAACAGAGAGAGTATCAAAAAAAGTTTCAGTCAAAAATCGTAAATAAAAAATAGACAAAAATAGTGCAGCAAAGGGAGTACTTAATATTTCAAATCCGAAAATTAATCTGTGCATTTGAATGTGATATAAAACGCTAATGTTGATTGAAAATTAAATATATTTTTCCAAACAGGACTTGGATTGTTATTTTAATAGTGCAGATAATATCGCAAACGTTAAAATTAAACGATACCATTAGACAACAATTTGGAAATGCTAGTACATTTATTTTGAAATTGACACACAATCATTAAAATCACACAATAAATGTTAGAATAGAATACCTACTTGTTTTGTGTTTGTGATGTTCTTTCCTTCCTCTTGCACAAAAGCTTCTTTCCGCATTTGTTGTGACATCTTAATATATTATGTGATACCACACTTCTCAATTGGTAAATATAAATAAGCAAAATGAATGGTAAAGAGGAAATTGTGGGGAAAATATGTGCGCTATACCATATAATCCCAAAACACATAACGACCATGCAAATTCATTGTGTTTTTTAAAATTTTCTTCCTTTGTGTTTTTTAGCAAAGAAACCACTCAAATTATCTCTTTTTTAAAAAAATAGAAGTGATTTGGTTTTATTCAAAAATAAGACTATTGCCCATTTGACAATGTGACTCTATTTATTGAGATTTTACAGTATTTTTTGACATAATAATTGTCATTATTGACATTATAGGTCTTATTTTGGAGATAAAAACAATAAGGTTATATTTTAGAGATAATAGTACTAAACTACTAATGGTGTCAAATATTCTATTCGGCCTAAAAACTTTTTGTGTTCACTATTTCTGGTTTCCAACAACTTTAATTTTTATATGCTTTTTCATTGATCATTTATTAAAATAAAATATTCTAGTTATCACTTGCCGCCTGTTATTTACGAGGTCTGGATGAAATTAGTTTTTTGTTTCAATTAATTTGAAAATTGATGTAGAATTAATAAAAATAATAGGTATTTAAAAATCTACAAAATAAGAGATCATAAAACTATTATTTCATCAAATGTGTAGTAAAAATGAGTAAAGAGCAATTGTTAAAATATAAACTTATAAATAGTAAACAAACAACTTGAATCAGAAAGGAGGCAATATCTTTTTATTTTTTCAAATTATTATCCAACAAGAATAGTCTTATTTTTCACTTTTTTGCACTTTTAAAATGACTATTACTTCTCTCGCTAAAACATACTATCAAATTTGACTATGTAGTAACTTCACAATTCTCTCATTTTTGTTCAAAACACATTTCATAATTATTAATTGTCTAGTTAATAGTGTAAAAATACATAAAGTCAGCAATTTCCAAGAGCATTCATATGAGTTTGTCCCATATCCTCTATTCCAAGACTAAAGTCACAAACACTATTTACCACTCAAAATATTTTCCATATTTATTTCTTTTTTTAATCATTTACTAGATCAACATTATCATATCACATCTTTTTACACAACATTTGATGTAATCTATAAATATGTAACTCTTTACCATTGTTTAAATAAATTGAAAATAGATTTGGTCAAAAAAGAATGTGATAAACCAAAGCTCAAGATTGTTGCTTTCTCCTGCCTTTTTCACTTCACTATTCAAATGGTGAAACAATATCTTTTCTTTACATGTTTTCAATGATAATTTGTTAATATAATACATATCTCTCGATTTGTAGCACTTATGACGTAGCCCTAAAATTTATTTTTAAATTTTACACTGATAATGAAATAAATTGAATAAAAAATAACTGCAACTAGTCATTGAAATCCGAAACATGAAGATTATTTAACGGCGGGATTACAAATTGATGGGACTAAAAGAGCATTAAAATGGAAAAATTGACAATTATGCAACCAAAGGTCATAAATGTTGGTTGTGCATGGTGTACCCATTGAAAATAACTATGGGACAATATCCTACAATTGCTACATAAAAATAACACAATATTTTTTTTTTTTTTAAAAAGAGATGTTATGGACAACAAAGATTCCTATATGGAACAAAGCCAAATTTATATTGGAAACTGTGATTCCTAACCTCAAGATAGGAGCCTCTCTGCATAACTGCAAAATGGCCATTTGAAATTTTTGTTTCAAAAGCCAAAAGGTGACATTCTCCTGCTCCCTCCTTCGCCATACCGTTCGTTCCATTTCCTCAATTCATTCATGCTAGCTGCATCATATGCAACTGATGGTCCCACCTGAACATTAAAATCGATAAAATTACACGACCGTGAAGGGATATAGATAATCAACTACCCAATTTAGAGTCGGAGGCTTTTTAGATCACTTGCCTTGGCTTTGGATTGGAAGAAGTCTGTTAAATTGAGAGGCCTCAGAATAGGAGGATTTGGATCAGCTCTGCTTCCTTCCTGTGTAACCACAAGCACTCTTATCAGATGACCGGCAAGCATTTAAGCAAAATATATCTAACAGGTGCCGTAATCCAATATTACCAGACCAAGGGGGAAAGAGTTGTTCTTTCGTGGTCCTAAGGTTCACATGTAAATAGTGAACCTTCTCACTTTTTTCATGTGCGGGCAAGTGGGTTTTTTTTTTTGCAAAAGGTCCAATTCTTTTATG